TGAATCATGTTGCCACATGATTTGAGGGGCTGAATAGTGGCTTCCCAAAAACGTTTCCATCCTAATCCTCGAAATTTGTGAATCCTAATTTACATGCGAAAGGGACTTTGCAGATATGATTAAATTAAGACCTCAAGATGGGGATATTATCCTGGATTATCTTACTGGGCCCTAAATGTAATCACTAGTGTCCTTTTAAGGGGGAGGCAGGAGGAGAGTGAGAAAAAGGTGATGGAAACACAGAAAGAGAGAGACTGGAAGATGCTACGCTGCAGTCTTTGAAGATGGGCTATGAACCAAGGAATGCAGGCAGTTTCTAGAAGCTAGAAAAAGCAACGAAACAGATTTTCCCAAAGACCCTCCAGGAGGATGCGGGCCTGCTGACACCTTGATTTTAGCCCTTTGAAACTGATTTCAGACTTGCGTTCTTGTTTTATTTTATTTTTGGCTGCACCACATCACATGGCTTCTGGGATCTTAGTTCCCCAACCAGGGATCAAACCCGGGCCCTCTGCAGTAAGAGTTCAAAGTCCTAACCACTGGCCTGCCAGGGAACTCCCCAGACTTGTGCTCTTTTAAGCCACTAACCTATAGTAATTTATTACAAGCAGCAAGAGGAAATTAATACAAATCATACATTATGATACAAATCATAATTTCGATTTCTTTAAAAAGGAACTTACATGCTTATTAGAAGTGTTGTTTATAACACTAAAAATACAGTAATAACTAAAACTCCAAAAAGTTTTAAAAGTATGCACAACCATTAAAAACTATCATAGAGGGACTTCCCTGGTGGCGCAGTGGTTAAGAATCCACCTGCCAACGCAGGGGACATGGGTTCGAGCTTTGGTCCAGGAAGATCCCACATGCCGCGGAGCAACTAAGCCCGTGCACCACAACTACTGAGCCTGTGCTCTAGAGCCCATGAGCCACAACTACTGAGCCCGTACACCACAACTACTGAAGCCCGTGCGCCTAGAGCCCATGCTCCACGAGAAGCCACCGCAACGAGAAGCCCGCACACCGCAACGAAGAGTAGCCCCCGCTCTCTGCAACTAGAGAAAGCCTGCGCGGAGCAACAAAAACCCAATGCAGCCATAAATAAATAAGTAAATTTATTTATTTTAAAAAAGTCAAAGAAAAATTTAGTTATGTGGAATACATGAGGATATATTAAGGATTTTAAAAAGCAGGTTACAATACTATATAATTTTTTAAAAAATTATACTTATGTGTATTTTGTTTCCTATAGTGTTACAGACTGAATTGTCTCCCCAAAGTTCTTATGTTATTCTTATTCTCTAACCTCCAATGTGATTATACTTGGTGACAGGGTTTTTAGGAGGTAATTAAGGTTAAATGAGGTCAGAAGAGCAGGGTCCTCATGATAGAATTAGCACCCTTATAAGAACAGACACCTGAAAGCTTGCTCACTCATGCTCTCAATCTCTAAACCATCATGTGAGAACATAGTGAGAAGAGGCCATGGAAGAGATCTCCTATTATACCAGAAACAACCTGCTAGCACCATGATCTTGGACTTCTAGCCTCTAGAACTGTGAGAAAATAAACTTCTTTTAAGCCACCCAATCTATGGGATTTTGCCATGGCAGCACAAGCTATTACTACAGATTTTAGTATTGAGAAGCGGGGTGTTGCTTTAAGGAATACCTAAAAATGTGGAAGAAACTTTGGAACAGTAATGGGTGGAGGCTGGAAGAATTTGGAGGTGGCATGCTAGAAATATGGGTATTAAAGGTGATTCTGGTGAGATCTGAAATGGAAATGAGGAACATGTTATTGGAAACTGGAGAAAAGGTGACCCTTGTTATAAAGTGGCAAAGAACTGGCTGAACTTAGTGTTCCGTGGAAGATAGAGCTTCCAAGTAATAAAACTGTCTATTTAGCTGAGGTTTCTAAGTGAAGTACTGAAGGAGTGGCTTGGCTCCTCCTGTTTATAGTAAAATGCAAAATGATATATATGAAGAAATTGTTAAGCAAAAAGGAACCGGAACCTAAAAATTTGGAAAATTCTCAGCCTATCTATGTTGCAAATTAGACAGCATGTTCTGAAGAGGACATCAAGGGTGTGGCTGGATCATCACTCCATAAAAAGCTTATGGTATTATAAGAGCCAAAACAATACCAGTTTGAACTGAAGGGGATAGAGACAGGACAAAGTGAAGGAAGGCTGACCGACTTCTTGGATTTGAAAGGACTGGAGAGCTATTTTGCTGCAAACATCAGCTATTCTTCAAGAAGAGGGAAAAATGACCCTGAAGGCCATTCAGAGGTCATCAGGGCTACTACCTCATTTTCAACAGGCCAGATGGCCTCTGCCAGAGGTCAGGGGCAGAACCTCCACCTAGAGTTGTTGGGTGATGATGCCATGCCAGTGGGCCTGGAAGGCAGAGTATCAAACCAAAAAAGATTCATGTCAAGCCTTAAGATCTAATGGAATTTGCCTGGCTAGGTTTTGGACTTCCTGGGGACCCATCACTCCATTTTTCCTTCTGATTTCTTCCTTTAGAATGAGAATGTCTATCCTACCATTGCATTTCGGAAAGACTTGTCAGGTTTCACAGGTTCACAGCTGGAGAAGAATTCTGCCTCAGAAAGAACTGTACCTGAGGACTTCCCCACTCCCAACGCAGGCGGCCCGGGTTCGATCCCTAGTCAGGGAACTAGATCCCACACGTATGCCGCAACTAAGAGTTCACATGCCACAACTAAGACCCGGCACAACCAAAAATAAATAAATATTAAAAAAAAAAAAAAAGAACTGTACCTGGAATCTCACTGGTATCTGATTTAGAGGTTATTTTAATGAGACTTTGTACTTTAGAGTTGATGCTGGAATGAGTTAAGACTTTGGGGGCTGTTGGGATAGAATGTATTTTGCATGTGAGAAGGACATGAATTTGCGGGGACCAGCGGCAGAATGCTATGGACTGAAATGTGTCCTCTCAAAATTCATATGTTGAAGCCCTACCTCCAACGTGACTATTTGGAGATAGGGCTTTTAGGAGGTAATTAATGTTAAATGAAGTTATAAGGGTGGATTTCTCACAGGATTGGTGGCCTTATAAGACAGGAAGAGAGAACGGTCTCTATCTATGCGCATTCACCTAGGAAAGTCCTTGTGAGCAAACAGTGAGAAGGCAGCTGTCTGCAAGCAAGGAAGACAGCCCTTACCAGAACCAGACCATACTGGGACACTGAGAAAATACCATGAGAAAATTCTGTTGTGTAAGTCTATGGTATTTTGTTTCTGCAGCCCAAGCGGACTAAGTGTATATTATAACTAGAAAAATATCTTTTCAGCAGCACAACTTTGAAAGGCTGTATGAAAATTTTATTTTAAAAGAGTTGCAAACAAAAAGAAATACACTTGGCTTTGTCAATATTCAGGGTCTCATTTTTTTTTAACATCTTTAGTAGAATATAATTGCCTTACAATGGTTTCTGCTTTATAACAAAGTGAATCAGTTATACATACACATATGTTCCCATATCTCTTCCCTCGTGTCTCCCTCCCTCCCACCCCTCTAGGTGGTCACAAAGCACCGAGCTGATCTCTCTGTGCTGTGCGGCTGCTTCCCACTAGCTAGCTATTTTACGTTTGGTAGTGTATATATGTCCATGCCACTCTCTCACTTTGTCACAGCTTACCCCTCCCCCTCCCCATATGCTCAAGTCCATTCTCTAGTAGGTCTGTGTCTTTATTCACGTCTTGCCCCTCGGTTCTCCGTGACCACTTTTTCCCCTTAGATTCCATATATATGTGTTAGCATACGGTATTTCTGACTTACTTCACTCTGTATGGGACTCTAGGTCCATCCACCTCACTACAAATAACTCAGTTTCGCTTCCTTTTATGGCTAAGTAATATTCCATTGTATATATGTGCCACATCTTCTTTAATCATTCATCTGTTGATGGACACTTAGGTTGCTTCCATGTCCTGGCTATTGTAAATAGAGCTGCAATGAACATTTTGGTACATGACTCTTTTTGAATTATGGTTTTCTCAGGGTATATGCCCAGTAGTGGGATTGCTGGGTCGTATGGTAGTTCTATTTTTAGTTTTTTAAGGAATCTCCATACTGTTCTCCATAGTGGCTGTATCAATTTACATTGCCACCAACAGTGCAAGAGGGGTCCCTTTTCTCCACACCCTCTCCAGCATTCTTTGTAGATTTTTTGATGATGGCCATTCTGACTGGTGTGAGATGATATCTCATTGTAGTTTTGATTTGCATTTCTCTAATGATTAATGATGTTGAGCATTCTTTCATGTGTTTGTTGGCAGTCTGTATATCTTCTTTGGAGAAATGTCTATTTAGGTCTTCTGCCCATTTTTGGATTGGGTTGTTTTTTTGATACTGAGCTGCATAAGCTGCTTGTAAATTTTGGAGATTAATCCTTTGTCAGTTGCTTCATTTGCAAATATTTTCTCCCATTCTGAGGGTTGTCTTTTGGTCTTGTTTATGGTTTCCTTTGCTGTGCAAAAGCTTTGAAGGTTCATTAGGTCCCATTTGTTTATTTTTGTTTTTATTTCCATTTCTCTAGGAGGTGGGTCAGAAAGGATCTTGCTGTGATGTATGTCATAGAGTGTTCTGCCTATGTTTCCCTCTAAGAGTTTGATAGTGTCTGGCCTTACATTTAGGTCTTTAATCCATTTTGGGGTCTCATAGTTCTTTTAAAGTACAGTGTTATAATGCTTTATAAAATGACCTCTTAACAGTATCTGATGCCTGGTAACACTGATATTTATCACTTAACAACCCCCTTACTCTCTTGACGTTATGATTTGAGTAGACAGAATATTAAAATGACAGGTAATTTTTTATAATGACTGCATTAATTATAATAAAAACAAATGGGGCTTCCCTGGTGGCGCAGTGGTTGACAGTCCGCCTGCCGATGCAAGGGACGCGGGTTCATGCCCCGGTCCGGGAAGATCCCACATGCCGCGGAGCGGCTGGGCCCGTGAGCCATGGCCGCTGAGCCTGCATGTCTGGAACCTGTGCTCTGCAACGGGAAAGGCCACAACAGTGAGATGCCCGCGTACCGCAAAAAAAAATATATATATATATATATGCCTTAAAGCGCTCAAAAATAAGATAGTTACAATTAGCTATCCCATACTAAAGTAGTCATTTGAAATTAGTCTTACATAATTAGGATGACCATAAGCCTGATTTGCCTGGGACAGTCCTGATTTATGTCCTGGTATAACTGTTAGCAGTGCCTATTTTCATTCTTTAAAAAGTCCTTGCCAACTATGGTTAGTCTATGTATAATCAATTACAGAATAATTACATTTTTTAAATTTTATGAATTTAGTGTTCAGTCTGGGACAGGAAATACCAACTGTCACTGAAGTCTGGAAAATATGGTTGTCACGGTATATAATATTCAATTACTTAAATAATTTTCTTCCACTGGGAGTCAAAGTAAATTTTGTAAATGAATTAAGAAGCACTAAGAACCAGGTACCAAAACATTTTTAAATTTTGAAACCACTCAAGAATCCAAATTTTTAATTTATTCAAGCAGTATTAAGATTATTCAAAGGAAAATGTCAATACACCTAGAACTGGATCACACCATGTTTCAAAAATATAGAAATAAATGACTGTGAGCTTATCAACTTGACAACATAGATATATGTTCCAGTCAATGTTCTAGATGGGATAACAACTCTAAAGTCCTTCCTTTAATGTTACAAAATAACATTAAAAAATGAACAAATGACTTAGATTTTAGGATTGGGGTCACGAAAATCAGACTGGTCATCCAAAATGTGTATCCTACTCATAAACTGAATGTAATGATATGCTGACTCATGGTGCTGGCTTTTCTTCATAATAGAAACATGTCATTTTTAAGAATTATCAAAGCTACATTTAAAGAGGAGAGCACAATAGGAATGTGAAAAAAACCTTTTCTTCCTAGAAATGTCTAGGCAATTGGCAAAGAAAGGAGGAGAAAACAGTCTGAATATTAAATTCAGATTGGTCACAAGCGATCAGCTTTCCACATTTGCAAAATACAATAACTGTATCATCTCTGCTGAATGTTACTGAAAATGAAAACAGGGTTAAATACAACTGTAGAACACTGCTTAGTTTAGAAAAACTCTTTCAGAGAATCCTATTTGTTAAGTATTTTCACTTAATATAGACCTGATCCATTCATTCACCATTCACTTAATATAGACTGGATTCATTCACGCCATAGTGTTTATATTCTAAACTAACGAGTCTACTACTTGTAAGCACTGCATCTCTCACAGCATCAATACATATGTATACTCTGAGACTAGTCTTTGGATTCCTTTTCTTCCTCTGAGTCCCGTGACCGCTTCCGGATATTCAATGAACCTTCTGTTTGCAATGGACATGCAGTAGCAACAACAGCATCTCTAAATCCCTGAGGCTGCAAAATGAAAAAATATACAAGTATGCTGTAAGAACATCTAAAATAACAACTGGTCTTCCAAATATTTTAAAGTAATTGATAAAAGAGCTACTTTATTCTTGGGATAGAAGTTATCAACCACTGTGAATGAAGAGGATAAACCTCAAAGATAGCCAGAGCTATAATAGGGTAATTTTTATCTAGAGTATGTGTATGTTTTTACTTATACATACACATACACAGAAATATAGTACATTATAAAAATATCCTCTAAAAGTCAATCCTAACAAACTTTACAGTGGCTCTATTAGAAGAGGTGAAAGGAATTAACATGCACTAATTACTTAGGTACTTTAGAAATATTTTCACAATTAAATACTCTAATGAATTGGGAGATTGGGATTGACATATATACACTAATACGTATAAAACAGATAACTAATGAGAACCTGCTGTATAGCACAGGGAACTCCACTTCGCTGTACAATAGAAACTAACACAACATTGTAAAACAACTATACCCCAATAAAAATACATACTCTAAAATAAAATGTCTCGATTAGATACTTTAAATGCACCTGGGCAGTGCAAAGACTAAGTAGATAATTCAGTTTCAGAATCTCCTTCTATTTCTGTTTTTGTCCTTAAAAAATGAGACACTAAGAATATATCTCATTCAACACTATTGATAAATATGCATTATTTTTAGCCAAAAATTTATTTTCTATGATGTAAAATTACTGGAAAATTAACACTTTAAAGTGGGATATAGGGCTTCCCTGGTGGCGCAGTGGTTGAGAGTCCGCCTGCCGATGCAGGGGACACGGGTTCGTGCCCAAGTCCGGGAAGATCCCACATGCTGCGGAGCGGCTGGGCCCATGAGTCATGGCCCCTGAACCATGGCAGCTGAGCCTGCACGTCCGGAGCCTGTGCCCCGGAGACGGAGAGGCCACAACAGTGAGAGGCCCCAAAACCCAAAAAAAAAAAAAAAAAAAAAGTGGGATATATTTCACTTATATGTGGAATCTAAAAAAATAACAAGAAACTAGTGAATACAACAAAAAAGAAGCAGACTTAGATACAGAGAACAAACTAGTGGTCACCAGTGGGAAGAGGAAAGTGGGGAGGGGCAATAATGAGGTAGGGGATTGAGATATACAAACTACAACACTATGCATAAAATAAACTACAAGGATATTATTGTACAACATGGGGAATATAGCCAGTATTTTACAATAACTATAAATGGAGTATAACCTTTAAAAATTGTGAATCACTATAATGTACACGTGTAACTTACATAATATTACATATCAACTATACTTCAATAAAAAAAGAAAAAAGTGGGATACATTTGATGACTATGATAGATCTATCAAAATGAGTAATGCTGGTATTTTTTTCTTTTCTGAAAATCTTTAACGACTTTCACTTTAAAAATCTAATATCCTGACATTACACATGGCACGGAACACACTCCCCTATAAATAAGTATTTCCTCTGTTCTTAGGAATAAATCTCAGTTTAATTGTGACTAGAGAATTCTTTACATATACTACTATTTTGGGGATAATGTTCTAAGCATCAAAAGCTGTCCTCAAATATGCTTGCTGCCTACAGAAGTTAACAGAAGCAATTTGTAAATGCTCTCTTGAGATAATTACTGCCCACTAACACCAAAATCCCACTCTAATCAAATAATACTGACTGTGATTTGAAATGGTACTGTAGCATCCTTCTGGCTTGGTGATTTGTACAATGTTGCCAACCTGCTTAGAGAAAAAGAATAAATATACACAAACACGTGATCTTAATTAATTAGTTCAGAAGACTGATTTCATAATTTAAATTCATAGCTTTTAATTATAATTCTATTATTTTGTTCTCTAAGAACACAGAAAGCAAAGAAATATCAAAAATACTCCCTTAAAACAAGAGCTATATGTATACATGTAATAATTATTACATATAATAACAATAGGGGCATCCCCAGTGGCACAGTGGTTAAGGATCCGCCTGCCAATGCAGGGGACACGGGTTCGAGCCTTGGTCTGGGAAGATCCCACATGTTGCGGAGCAAATAAGCCCATGCGCCACAACTACTGAGCCTGTGCCCTACAGCCGCGAGCCACAACTACAGAGCCCATGTGCCACAACTACTGAAGCCCATGCGCCTAGAGCCCGGGCTCCACAACAAGAGAAGCCACCGCAGTGAGAAGCCCGCGCACTGCAACGAAGAATAGCCCCCGCTCGCCGCAACTAGGGAAAGCCCGCGTGCAGCAACAAAGACCCAACATAGCCAAAAATAAAATAAAAATAAATTAAAAAAAAAAAAACCCACAATAGATTTGTTTACATAAGTGAAATTTTAAAACAACCAAAAAGGCCAATGACTGATTCAAATAAATTATTTTATACATGACAAGATACTATTTACACTTAAGAAAATAAAGTGGAAGAAAATATTTAATGAGATTGGAAAATATTAATAATATATGAAGTATAAGTTATACTGTATGAGCCCACATTTATGAATAAGTTTGTACATATACATTATATAGAAAAATTACTAAAAGACTACAATCAAAGGGACTTCCCTGGTGGTCCAGTGGGTAAGACTCCGTGCTCCCAATGCAGGGGGTCTGGGTTCGATCCCCGGTCGGGGAACTAGATCCCGCATGCATGTTGCAACTAAGATCTGGCGCAGCCAAAATAAATAAAGAAATATAAAACTACAATCAAAAAGTTAAGTTGTTGTTACAAAGTAAAAGTTGTTTTTTTGTTTGGTTATCTACATCTTTCAAACTTTCTACAGTACTTGTGTATTTTTTTACGTGTTATAATGGAAGTATTAAGACAATTTCTTGGTATTTAAATGAGGAACACATACTCATATTATACTAATACAAATAATCTAGGAAAACACATTCTTTCAAAATGCTTATGTTCAGAAAAATCGCTGTCAAGACAGGACAAGGTCTGTTTAGGTATGATTTTATTGTGTACTCTACAAAGTAAATAAGATAAAACTGAAAGCTGAAAGTAGTTGAGAAATAAAATTCTAAACTCTTATTAACTATGCTCAAATACCGTAACAGCAACAAATACAGTTGACCCTTGAACAATGCAGGGGTTAGGGGCACCAACCCCGCGCAGTCCAAAATCCAAATACTCTGCTTCAAAAACAAAGGAATTGATAAATGAGTCACCCAAAGGCAGGAAGCTGAAACAGTTTAGATAGAATCAGGACTCAAACCCTAGCTCTTTTAACTCCACATACTCTGATCTCTAATTGAACACAAAAAAACTCTTCCCCACACTTAAAGATCTGTAAAATGAAAATACAGATACTACATTTATTGAAAAAAATCTGCCTATAAGTAGACCCATGCAATTCAAACCCTTGTTGTTCACTGGTCAACTGTATAAGAAAAAAAAAATTTTTTTTTTTTTTGGCCGCACCATGTGGCATGTGGGATCTTAGTTCCCTGACCAGGGATCAAACCCGCACCCCCTGCAGTGGAAGCATGGGGTCTTAATCACTGGACTGCCAGGGAAGTCCCTAAGCAAAAACTTTTAAAGTGTCTTTTAAAAATTACTTTAAAACTGATATAATTTATTCACAATAGCTAAAAGGTAGAAGCAACCCAAGTGTCTGACAGATGAATGGATAAACAAAAGGTGGTATATACATACCATGGAATATTGCTCAGTCTTAAAAAGGAAAGGAATTCTGACATATGCTACAATGAACCTTGAAGACTTTACGCTAAGTCAAATAAAGCCAGTCACAAAAGGACCAATATTGTATGCTTCTGCTTATACGAGGTGCCTAGAGCAGTCAAATTCATGGAGACAGAAGGTAGAATGGTGGTTCCCAGGGGCTGGTAGGAGGGGAGGATGGGGAATTAGTATTTAATAAGCATGGAGTTTCAGTTTGGGAAGATGAAAAAGGTCTGGAGATGGATGGTGGTGATGACTGTAAAATAATATGAATGTACTTCATGCCACAGAATCGTACACTTAAATGGTTAAAATGGTAAATTTTATGTTACATATACTTTACCACAATTTTTTTTTTTGGCCGCAGCACGCAGAACGCAGGATCTTAGTTCCCTGACCAGGGATTGAACCTGTGCCCCCCTACAGTGGAAGTGCAGAGTCCTAACCACTGGACGCCAGGGAATTCCCTACTTTACCACAATTTTAAACAACTGATATAACTGTACAAAATAAGGATTCTAACTTAGAGAAAAATCATAGCCTCTCAGAGTTAAACGGATCATTTCTTTAAGTGTCATATAATGTTGATTTGTTTTCAAAAATAATTCAAAAAGACATCTTGGTTTATGATGGTACTCTCTTAATTTTGAAATTGGCCCCTACTCAGGCATAATTCAAAAGAGAAGCAATCAGAGACCATCATCCATTAGCTTTTAGGTTTGTTCTTTCAGGATGAGAATAGAAGAATCCAAAATGTCATATCTTTGTAATAGCAACTGTCTGCATAAATAAAATAACTGTTAAGTAATATGTAATATAAGAATAATTGTGTTAGGGAGTGAAATCATCAACTTTTACAATGCTTTAGGGCTGATGGTCTATCTTTAACGCAAAATAAAACAGAAAAAATAGAGGCATGGAGTATTTAAATCTATCTTATTAAAAAAAATCACACTTTTGTTTTTGTTTGTTTGTTTTGCGGTACGCGGGCCTCTCACTGTTGTGGCCTCTCCCGTTGCGGAGCACAGGCTCCGGACGCGCAGGCTCAGCGGCCATGGCTCACGGGCCCAGCCGCTCCACGGCATGTGGGATCTTCCCGGACCGGGGCACGAACCCGTGTCCCCTGCATTGGCAGGCGGACTCTCAACCACTGCGCCACCAGGGAAGCCCAAAAAAAATCACACTTTTTGATTCAATGAAACAAAAATTAGCTAACCTTCTGAAAAAGTAGTATCTAAATCACCTCATATCACCATATGTCCAAAAAGGTACCCAGTACATCCAACTTTTCTGAGAAAATTATTAAAAAGCAAATAAGATTTTAAGAAGCATTTATATGTTTATTAATAATCCTAACATCAAATGGGCATTAAGTATTAAGGTTGAAAATCTTCCTCAAATTTCTAGGTAAAAATAAAATTTATATTTCACGTCTGCATCTCAAGAGATTTTTTTCTTTTTTGTGGTACGCGGGCCTCTCACTGCTGTGGCTTCTCCCGTTGCAGAGCACAGGCTCCGGATGTGCAGGCTCAGCGGCCATGGCCCACAGGCCCAGCCACTCCACGGCATATGGGATCTTCCTGGACCGGGGCACGAACCCGTGTCCCCTGCATCGGCAGGCGGACTCTCAACCACTGCGTCACCAGGGAAGCCCTCAAGAGATCTTTTTAAACAACAAACTAAACCAAAGAATCACTTGGCTCATGGCCCCAGCTGAGATGAAGCTTAACATATGGCTGAACTACATAGTTTAGGTCAGGAAGAAACAAGACAGAAGCACCATTTGTGCTTTAAAACTGAGACACATATGAAACACTGCGCGGGGGTGTTGATGTATTACTCCACTCTACCACCAGATCTCCTTGGCAAACAGTGGTATAATTCTGAACAATCTTGGCCTCATCTTATCATGAATATGCAAACTGGAGGAAAACCCACACAACATACCGGACAGAGACAAAAGTATTTCTCTTAATAACTATTGGAATGTTATTCCATTATTAATCAAAGGGTAAAAATCAGGCGTTTCTAGTGAAGATGGGGACTGGGGCATGAGGCGGAACACTTAAATTCAATTCTCAATATAAATGTGGCTAGTCAAGGTCTTTAGTTTTCTGCTCAAACTATAAGTGTTCATTTTTATAACTATTTTCCCCCAGCATGAGTTTCTATTTCCATCCTTTCAAGATAAACTAAATTTTAAAACACATACAAGATTTCATACAACTTTAATAACTTAAAGATATCAGATTTCAAACAATGAAGAACAAAACTATGTTGATTTTATTAAATGAGGTCAACTTATTCTGATTCTATAAAGTATGTACACTACTTATCATATATCTACAGCCTAGGAAAAAAAGCAGTTTGGAGAAAAAGGTTTTTACCTAAAAAGGAGGATAAGAGCTATACCTTCAGATTCGCTGGCAATCAATGCAATAATACAATTACATTATAGAAACAGCCATTATAGGAGAAAAGGAATGGACTCTATTATAAAGTCAGCTAAAAAATGTGGATACTACTACCTATTTCATAGTTATTTGGAAAATAAAATGAAATTATATATATACATACACAGAGCACTTAGCATAATAAAGAACAGTTAATAAATATTCAAAAAATGGTAGCTATTATTTACTACTTTTTAATCTTTCTGTGCCTTGATCTTCTCACTGCTAGTGATAATCGGTACAGCGTTTTCTAAGTTATTGAAGGACTCACAGATATAGAGAATAAATTAGTGGTTACCAGCGGGGAGAAGGAGGGGGCAATACAGGAGTAGGGGATTAAGAGGTACAAACTACTATGTATAAAATAAGCTACAAGGATACACTGTACAACACAGCATATATAGCCAATATTTTATAATAACTATAAATGGAGCATAACCTTTAAAAATTGTGAATCACTATACTGTATACCTGTAACTTCCATAATAGTGTATATCAACTATATTTAATTTTTTTAAATAGTTATTGAAGGGATTATATGAAATGTTGTATACAAGGTGCCCAGTTAAATACCTAGCACAAGCAAGCACTTATTAAAATGATAGTATGGGATACAGGTAAAAATTCACAGAACAGCACATTTCCCCTAAATCTATCTCTTCAATGTCAGTGTTCTACGCCACTCTCTAATTTCTTGGGAAAGATTAGTAAGAAGCTGAAGTCATAAAATGGTTAACTCTTAAGAAAGTAAGCATGGTTTTCTGATCTCATGGGTGCCTAACCAATGCTAACTTCTAGAATTTCACAAAGGCAGCAAACTTCTCCTTCTGACGAATGTATAAAGAGATGAAAGAAACATCTTTCTCTGCTCCTATCATTTTTCTCACTTCTTAGATGTATTCTATTAGTGAGTATGTAATACTAGAATAATAGTGGAAGACTACTACTGTATACTAGCTCAAGGGGAACTTCTAATAACATTTAAATAGTGGGATGTGCTTTCCAGAAACCTAAATCTGGGAAAATATAAGCGATATGTTCAAAAGACTCTCATCTGGAGAACTGCTGCCAAATCTTTACAATAGGGTTTTTTGCTGAGAAAAGAATTGCTTTTGTGAATCCAGTACACAATGACTTATTTACAGAATTGGAGGGACGGGAGTTGAATGTAAAGCACTATGTATCATGGAGAAAAAAAGTTACCTGAGGTCTTTGGAAATGCCAGCTTTAAAAGAGACACAAACTGCATGAACTAGTTATAAAAGATGTATACAAATATAATAGGGTCAGCTATGAGCTCAGGGTCAGTAAAACCTAACTTGGTCAGGCTTGATTTTTTTCACTTTGTACAAGAATGAAGAAATGCAGAAAAAGAAATAGACAGTATCTCTGACCAGACTCAATATGTCTTTAAGCAATCCTTTTTTCCATTTTTGCCCACATGCTGTCTCAATTTCCCTATTTTATTGGAGTATTTCCAAACCAAGTTCTCTAGGTTATACCAATTAACTTCAAAGCAGAGATGTTGGCATAAATCTAACATTTCTAGAAGTATAGAATAAAAGACTCCACGGCTTTCAATTGCCTATTTAAAAAAAATGAAAGGTGGTTTGTTCACTTGCTCAGCAGCTTTAAAAACAAAGGTTTCATGCTGCCACAGTTTTATTTTAAAGAACAATACTTGTGAAAGGCAAGTAAGTAACTGGATAATAAAAGTAGGACAGGAAAATATAAAAGAAAACAAAAACAGACACAATTTCACACAGGAAATACATTAACAAACTAAGAAAAACCATCCTATTTTCCACATAACCTAAAGCTAACCTCAAAAGTTTTCCTTTTGTCCTGATTTTACTCTTCTTTCAATCCCTTCCAGGAACACAGAGTACCTACCTCCCTCTGTGTGGTTAATAAATGGTACTTGATTTCAAAGAGCTTTAGAAGGTAGCATTCTTTGGCCACCTACTCATTTCAGGAGCACCCCATCATTTCAATATTCCGAAGAACTTCCTAGGTCGTTAAATGTGCAGTATAACAACATGTTTCTGTGTTTGCTCTAGGTAATGAAGGCAACAAAAGCTTTAGTTCATGGGGCACTGTAGACCTCATCCACTGGACTAGCTCTAAGAAACTGGTAAGTGTTCAGTGTAGTGAACCCAATACTCAGAATTTTTAACTTATTTCTATACTGACCTTCGCTTCTGGTCCCAATGAAAGATTAGTCGTATTGTAGCAGCATGCCCCCAACTTTCCCCTGAGGCAAAAAGAACACGGTAACTGACTGAGTTATAAGTCTCTCAGAATGCCTCTGACCAAATACAGTTTTACTTTGCTTAATTTAACATAACAAAAGTATATCTGGTTTCAAAAAACCTGGTACATGGGTAACATCCTGAGATTAATAGATTTTCACCTATCTGTGGCAATGCTGCAGATCATTATCACTATCCTCTATTTTCTTTTAGAAAACTTTATAGTTCGAGTCAACATATTTGTCAATCTTCCTTATCATCAGGCTTACTAACGTATTTCAGACCACCAGAAGAAAAGCAAAAGCTCTGATAGAATATTCTTAAAGATTTTAGTACAAATAAACCTTGAAGCACTGTGTTCTAACAAAGCCACGAGTAAGGTTAGTCATAAGCCTATTCATTACAGTTTGATTTGTATTTAAATGGATTCACCACTCTTCCTAAGACTGCGCTTTCTGAGGGAGTCATCTTATGAATATTTATATGCTAAGTACCTGACACAAGAGTTGCCAGAGAGTAGATGCTCAATAAATGTTAAACAACTGAAAGGATGAGTCAGTATCTAAAGGCACTGTGCTCCACACTAAGATTTATCAGTGAATAAGACAGTCTTCTCTACTTTCATGGAGCTTACAGTACTCAACAAGTATCAGATGAAAGAGGTAGAAAAAAATGTATTTAACTAAAAATGTTTATTTGATTAATTGCCTACCCAGTGCAGGAACCAGCAAGGCCTGATTTTTATCAATCTTTGTTGTCATCTGATTGGTTAAAATTACCTACAAAAACAAAACGTGAGAAAATTAGGTGAGTCTCCTCCCAAATTTAGCAAGTAAATAGTCACGTGATTTTAGTATTCTGAATATAATCTAATTTAAAGGAAGATATATGTAGGTAATGAAAACTTTTCTCATATATTTTTTAGATATTACCCATAAAAATGAGTAAAATTATCTGAATACATGATTCTACTGAATATAAAACATTTTTTAACAGACTAGAACAAAGAAGTTCTTATTGTGATAATGGAAGAAAAAAAATATAGTAGATAATACATAAAGGTCTAAAGAGACCATGTGTAAAAACTTCATAACTAGGAGCACAGGAAACATGGGAGTCTGTGTTCTTTACCACTGTTGCCTCTCTAGAATATATTTACTCAAAGGAATATAAAATCCTTAATAAATAACTCAATGTTTATACTTTTAGGGGAGAGATAGTATTACCATTTATGATTTTACAGAAAAAAACTGAGGCAAAGAATTATGAGAAGAGATCTAAAATCATAAAGAGAGCACAGTATAAGTAGAAGAACTGGGAAAAGATAAAACCCAGTAACAGATCAACTGACCCAAAAATTATGACTATGCTAGTCTGCTGGTAATAGAGATATAGTTGTTGCCTTACTCACAGATGCCCTCCAGGCTAAAAATATTGCTAATTCTTTTGGATTAAATAGTGGCCTATAGAAAAGATTCCATGTTTAGAAAGATAGTAATTTTATTTTATATACTTATTCTTTGGCTGTACCGCATGGCATGAGGGATCTTAGTTCCTCAACCAGGGATCGAATCCGTGCCCCCTGCAGTGGAAGCACGGAGTCTTAACCACTGGACCTCCAGGGAAGTACCGAAAGATAGTAATTTTAGAGTAGAGATAAAGAAAGTGTTTAAGGCTACCTTAATATAGTAAAAGTCAGATTATCTGGCACCTTCTCATCTAAAATTCTCCAGAAATGGTTATTTTAAACATTGTTCCAATACAGATCTTCCCTCCAGAAATAAGACAGATACTAGTTCAAGCTGAAACTGATAAAGAACTTCTAAGAAAAGCAATAAGAAAAGATACCTACTCTAAAAAAGTCATCTATTTCTTAAGAAAACTGAAAAGAAAAGGCTGTTTGGCTGTACCCACCACAGTGGTCAACACCCTAAAGTTTCTGTTTATCTACGAAGGAGAAATCTGTGATCCATCTAGATCTCAGTCAAGCACAAACTGGATGACAGCACTTCCTCTTAGTTCCTCTCCCCTTAAGTGCCATAGTGGTTTTCCCATGTGTTACCTTATTCCAGGTATCTCAGAACAAGCTAAGCAGGAATTTAAATTGGTAATTCACTGAAATATATGTCTTACTGGCATCCACAACATGTTGAACAATACTCTTTACACACTATCAAGTGTTTAATCTTTAGCAACTGGGATATTTACTCACACCAACACTTTTTTTTTTTTTTTTTTTTTTTTTTTTTTCGGGCCCCTCGCTTTTTTCTCTTTTTTCTTTTCGGAGCACAGGCTCCGGATGCACAGGCTCAGTGGCCATGGCTCACGGGCCCAGCCGCTCCGCAGCATGTGGGATCCTCCCGGAATGGGGCACGAACCCATGTCCCCTGCATTGGCAGGCGGACTCTCAACAACTGCGCCACCAGGGAAGCCCCACACCAACACTTTTTGGTTAAAGGTGCACTATTCAATTCTGCAGCCATGGGCCACATACAGCTTTTTAAAACTAAATTAATTAAAACTAGAAATTCACTTCCTCTGCAGCATTAGCCACATTTCAAGTGCTCAACACCCATGGAACTACTATATCAGACTGAGCATTTTCATCTTTTTTTCTTTTTTTGGCTGCATTGGGTCTTTGTTGCTGTGCTCAGGCTTTCTCTAGTTGCAGCGAGTGGGGGCTACTCCTCATTGCGGTAGGTGGGCTTCTCATTGCGGTGGTTTCTCCTGTTGCAGAGCACAGGCTCTAGGCGCGCAGGCTTCAGTAGTTGCGGCACGTGGGCTCAGTAGTTGTGGCTTGTGGGCTCTAGAGCACAGGCTCAGTAGTTGTGGCGCACAGGCTTAGTTGCTCCATGACATGTGGGATCTTCTCAGGCCAGGGATCAAACCCGTGTACACTGCATTGGCAGATGGATTCTAAACTACTGTGTCACCAAGGAAGTCCTGAGCATTTTCTTCTTTGTAGAAAGCTCTACCAGACAGCATTGGCTTAGAGAATATTACACATCTTACACATTATCCATTACACATCTTGAGGAAATTGTAAATAGACATACTGGCTTACCAGTTGTTCAACATCCCAAAATAAGAATTTGCATTGTTAGCATATACTTATAATTAACAGTATTTCTGCAAAAATGTTGGGTTTACCATGACATAAATGAAAATTACTGTGTGATTACTCCAAGCTCCTAAAGAATGAGTCTTGGGAGTTCCCTAGTGGACTAGTGGATAGGATTATGGGCTTTCACTGCCATGGCCTGGGGTTCAATCCCTGGTCAGGGAATTGAGATCCTGCAAGCTGCGCAGCACGGCCAAAAAAATTAAAAAAGAATGGGTCTTAAAATAGTGAAGTGGGGACTTCCCTGGTGGCGCAGTGGTTAAGAATCTGCATGCCAATGCAGGGAACAAGGGTTCGAGCCCTGGTCTGGGAGATGCCACATACCACGGAGCAACTAGCCCCGAGCGCCACAACTACTGAGCCTGCACGCCTAGAGCTGGTGCTCCACAACGGGAGAAGCCACCGCAATGAGAAGTCCACGCACAGCAACGCAACTAGAGAAAGTCCGCGCGCAGCAAGGAAGACCCAACGCAGCCAAAAATAAATAAATTAATTAATTAAAAAAAAATAGTGCAGTAATAATCACTTTAAAATTATAAACTTCACTGCTTTAAAAATACTTCTGTGGGCTTCCCTGGTGGCGCAGTGGTTGAGAGTCTGCCTGCCGATGCAGGGGACACGGGTTCATGCCCCGGTCTGGGAAGATCCCACATGCCACGGAGCAGCTGGGACCACGGGCCATGGCCGCTGAGCCTGCGCGTCCAGAGCCTGTGCTCTGCAACGAGAGAGACCATGACAGTGAGAGGCCCTCATACAAAAAAAAAAAAAAAAAAAAAAAAAAGAAGCCAGACATAAAAGACCACATATTGTATGATTCTATTTATATAAAATATCCAAAAAGACAAATCCATAGAGACAGAAAGCAGACTAGTGGTTGTTAGTGGCTGAAGGGAGGGTGCAATGGGGAATGATGGTTAATGGGTAAGGGAGTTCTTTTTGGGGGTGACGGAAATGTTCTAAAATTAGATAGCTGTGATGGTTGCACAACTCTGAAAATATACTAAAAAGCACTGAACTATGATTTAAAAGGGTTAATTTTATGCTATGTTAATTATATCTAATAGAGCTGTTAAATTTTTTTCTGATAATAATCAAATAAATGCACCTCTAGAAGGACTCTCTCCGTATCAGTCTGCAAAGACTTAAAAGACTCAAAGTTGGTAAAGAAGTGGGAAAACAAGAATTCTCATGCATGTTATACACATGAAATTAACATAATATTGTAAATCAAAATATGTCAAAAAAAAGTCTACCTTCTATTTTAGAAAAAAAGTATAATTGGAATCTAATCAAGAGGAAACATCACAGAAACCCAAAATTGTAACTTTTTTTTTTTTGCCAAGCCATGTGGCATGTGGGATCTTAGTTCCCCAACCAGGGATTGAACCCGTGCCCCTGCATTGGGAGCACGGAGTCTTAACCACTGGACGGCCAGGGAAGTCCCCACAGAAACCCAAAATTAAAGAGATAATCTCTAAAATCACTGGCTTCTATTCTTCAATACAGCAATGTCACAAAAACAAAGAAAGGCAACTAAAGAGATACAACATCTAAAGGCAATATGCGATTCCAGTTGGCAAAAAGAATGGGAAAAATTTGCTGTAAAGGACATCATTGGGATAATTGACAGAACAGGAATATGGATTATATACTAAAGTGCTGTATCAATATTAAATTTCCTACATTTGATAACTATACTGTGGACACATATGAGAATATTTCTTGTTCTTAGGAAATACACACTGAATATTATCAGATAAAAGGATATGATATATGCAACTCTTTTCAAAGTGTTCAGAAAAATATATACATAAACTCTGTGTGTGTGTTTGTGTATGTATAGAAAGAGAGTAGGGAGAGAGAAAAAGAATGAAAAAGCAAAACTTGGGAAAGGTTACATGGGAGTTCTTTATATTATTCAAATCAACAAAATAAATAAAATTCTATCTTTTCCCCACTGAACTGAAAAAAAAAAAGAAAAAGAAAGGATTCCCATTCATTGTTGTAGAGAATATACTTTGGGATATGCTTTCTGAGGGCAATTTGATAATATATTACAAAAGGTTTAAAAATAGGGATATCTCACTGGCTTAATACTTTCAGAAATGACTGGACACACGGACAAAGAAGCATATATAAAGTTGTTGACTCCAGTGTTTTACATGGTGTTTTACATGGTGAAACACTGGAGCCAACTTTAAAGACAATCAATAGAGAGAGAGGTGGTTAAAAAACTATGCCACAACCATACAGTAGAATACTATATAGATGTTAAGGTAAGGTACATTTATAAAGTAGTATGTATGGGAAGAGGTTCATAGTATATTAAGTAAAAAACAACTGTTTGCTTGATTGATTTTAATATGATTTCACTTAAAAATATGTATATGTTTACACAGAATAAGTTTGGAAAAATATACACAACAAACTCAACAATAATCATCTCTGGGTAATAGATAATATAATTGCTTACTTTCTACACTTTCGATTGCTTAAAACTTTTTTTACAGCAAGCAAATATAACTTAAAATTGTAAAATGTACTTATTAGCAAAGGTCATACATGCTTCTATAGATGCTAACTGGGAAATTAAAAATCAAACAAAGAAGAATTTATAAACTAAGACGAGAAAGTATACACTCAACCCACAAAGTCCTACCTCTAGAAGTAGCTACTGTAAATGTTTTGGTCCTTTCAGATCTTTTTTTCATATGTATAAATATAAATGCACATATATAACTTCTGTTTTCTTCAAAAATTGGGATCACAGGGCTTCCCTGGTGGCGCAGTGGTTGAGAGTCTGCCTGCCGATGCAGGGGACACGGGTTTGTGCCCCGGTCCGGGAAGATCCCACATGCCGTGGAGCGGCTAGGCCCGTGAGCCCTGGCCGCTGAGCCTGCGCGTCAGGAGCCTGTGCTCCACAACGGGAGAGGCCACAACAGTGAGAGGCCCGCATACCGCAAAAAAAAAAAAAAAAATTGGGATCACACTAAATATATTATTATGTAAGTTGAATTTTTTCACTTACTCATATATATGGATATATTTTCTTCCATGTTAGTGCATGTATATTTACATTACTCTTCTTAAACACTGCATAGTATTCCATGTTGTTATTTAGATTACTTTTTTTTTTTTTGGCTGAGCCGTGCAGCACAGCTTGCAGGATATCAGTTCCCCAATCAGGGACTGAACCCAGGCCATGGCAGTGAAAGCCTGGAATCCTAACCACTAGACCACCAGGGAACTCCCTAGATTACTTTTTTAATCAGAAAAGATGAAGCTATTTCTGTTAAAAAACAAAAACCTAAGGAACTATGCAACCCATTAGCTTTGAGTGCCCCCTACTGGGGACTCTTCACTGATATTAACAGAATGCTAAATTACAAATTAATGCCAAGAAATAATTCAAAGACAGGACACTATGTTTTCAGCATATGGCAAAAAAAATCTAAAAACTCAAAAGAAAAAATGTATGTTTTGAAATTATTTTATTGAGGAGTTATTTACATATGATGTATTACAGCCTTGTGCAAAGGACTCTAATTGGTGGTGAAGACAAGAAAATCAAGGTAAGCAGTTTGATCTTCTCCCATCTCCCTCTCAGACAAGTGTGTATATTTGTGTCAGTGGTAGGATGAGGTTGCAAAGAGAGAAGTGAAAACAGGCAATAAAAAAAAGTTTTTACCTCACTCCTTTTTTTTGTTTGTTTTTGTTTTGGGTTTTTTTTGGCCACAAACACACAGCACGCAGGATCTCAGTTCCCCGACCAGGGATCGAATTCGCACCCACTGCAGTGGAAGTGCAGAGTCCTAACCACTGGACCACCAGGGAATCCCCTACCTCACTCCTTTTATCTCTTTACTTCTGAACTTATCCTTATGTCTCTCCTCACACTACAAATCTAGAAGTGTTAGCTCCACCTCTAAACATCTAGGTTGTTTACACTATGTAATTTTTCTATCCGAGTCTGTGATTATACACTATGTAATAATCAAAGACTCAAGAGTAAAAGAAAAATAGGGATGTTGGAAGAGCTTACCTGAAAAACGTCAAGTATGTTACAAAGAAAACAATGCAATTATCAAAGATGGCATTTCTTTATCAAAGTCCATTTTTATAATATGGCATCTTGATTATGCTTTTTATTTGCCAGGAAAACTGATATACAACACTTATGACTGGATTTAATATTTTTTATAGAAACCAAACCAAAACAAAACTACATTCAGAACTGTATATCTATATTATTTGCTTTTAGTCAAGCAAATTCTATTTTTGCTATTTCTAGACTGTAACATTTTATTTTTTTACTTTTATTTATTTATTTAGGTTTGGTCATGCTGTGTGGCATGCGGGATCTTAGTTCCCTGACCAGGGGACCACTGTGCCCCCTACAGTGGAAGCATGAAATCCTAACCACTAGACTGCCAGGGAATTCCCTAGACTTTAACATTTTATATAATCTTGACTTTATAATAAAACTCCCTTTAGTAGTAATACTTACAGCTAATCTGTGGTTATTTGCAAGGCTGATCATTTGCTGCGCTAGGCCATTTAGTAACCGAGTACGAAGGGATAGGTCATCTAGGTCATGACGAAAAGGAAAAGCAATACCATCCACTATCACTAATCGAACCTAAATAAAGAAGAGATAATGATATTAGGTTTGGTATTTAAAATAAAATAATAAATGGCAACCAAAAAGCAGAGTCCATCACAGGAAAACAAAAAACAAAAAACCTTAAAATCCAGCGTTCTATTTCCAACTCTCTCCAAAGGCTTCATTTTGGTCAGGTATACATCTGTTCAATGCTTTCTGCACTAGTCACCAAAAGTTAAAATGTACTCTGGTTTGATAATTTATCATCTTAAAAAAGTAATTCAACAAAAGAAAAAGGGGCAATTACAATTTTCTTGCAATTTGCCACTACACCCAGTCTTTACAGAGGTGTACTGATGAAAAGCACTTGAAATCTTAGCAAAACCAATTTCTCAACTAAATGTCAATTTTACCTTCAGGGTTCTTTTTATGTTGAAAAAAAAAACCAAACGCTCAAATATTAAATTATAAACCCTTTTTCAAAAGCTTGATTTTTTTTTTTTTTTTTTTCAGTACACGGGCCTCTCACCGTTGTGGCCTCTCCCGTTGCGGAGCAACAGGCTCCGGACGCGCAGGCTCAGCAGCCATGGCTCACGGGCGCAGCCGCTCCGTGGCATGTGGGATCTTCCCGGAACGGGGCACTAACCCGTGTCCCCTGCATCGGCAGGCGGACTCTCAACCACTGCGCCACCAGGGAAGCCCGATAGCAGTACTTACTACATGGAAATCAGCAAGCAAATCAGTTACAGATCAGGACTTGATTTGTTTTGCTGGTTGTCTAGACTTTTAATAAAGCGATGGGAAAAAAATGTCATAATCAGATTGACCTTAAAAATGTGCTGTGTCTGTAAGAACAGACTTGTGGTTGCCAAGGGGGAGGGGGGTGAAGGAGGGAAGCATCACTTTGCTGTACCGCAGAAATTAACAAGACACTATAAATCACCAATACTTCAATAAATTTTTTTAAAGTGTTCTGTCTGTATCCACTGCATTGTGAACTACACAAAAAAATGAGGAAATATGCTTCTACTTTTGGAAAATGAATCCAATAACTAGGAATGATCATTAACTCAAATCAAAAGAAGAAAAATACTCCACGGGAAAACACTATATAATTGCAAGTTTTGGTCCTAGGGTATTTGCAACGAGTCCCAAATACCTAGGGCATCCAAGGACCTCTCTGCTCAAACCAGAGGAGCTATACGGCCTAACCTATAATGCAAGAATAGAAATAGGCTGTTTTCCTCTCTACAGTACAGATTTGACTGAAAGTGGCTGAAATACAAAGATCTGGACTTCTGTTAAGTGGTAACTGTCACACTCATGGCTTTTCTCCAAGCTTAGGGAGCAAGCTCCTGAATATGCTCTGGTGAGTTTCCTTGGTCTCTCAAAAGGCAGATTATACCGAATAACAGAAAGTCGATGAAGTACAGAGTTTGAGTGGGTAGAATAAAACAAGCATTGTCAAACAAACAAAAACCAAAAATCAAGCACTGTCATTCAACTCATAAAAGCTGAAATTAAAAAGTCACCAACATGGGACTTCCCTTGCAGTCCAGTAGTTAAGACTTCACCTTTCAATGCAGGGGGTGCAGGTTTGATCCCTGGTCGGGAAGCTAAGATCCCACATGCCTCGCGGCCAAAAAACCAAAATATAAAACAGAATCAATGATGAAACAAATTCAATAAAGACTTTAAAAGTGGTACATATCAGGGACTTCCCTGGTGGTGCAGTGGTTAAAAATCCGCCTGCCAATGCAGGGGACACGGGTTCGAGCCCTGGTCCGGGAATATCCCACATGCCGCGGAGCAACTAAGCCCGTGTGCCACAACTACTGAGTCTGTGCTCTAGAGACCCAGAGCCACAACTACTGAGCCCACCTGCCACAACTACTGAAGCCTGCACATCTACAGCCTGTGCTGTAGAAGCCACCGCAACAAGAAGCCCACACACCACAACGAACAGTAGCCCCCACTCACTGCAACGAGAGAAAGCCCGCATGCAGCAATGAAGACTCAACGCAGCCATAAATAATAAAAATCTTTTAAAAAATGAGAAAAGAACCATTTAAATAAATAAATAAAATAAAATAAAATAAAAATGGTCCACATCAAGAAAAAAAATCTTAAAGAAAAAAAGTTACCAGCGTGAATTTTTATTTTGGTCGTGCCCTGTGGCTTGTAGGAAACTTAGCTCCCCTCGACCAGGGATCAAACTCATGCCCACTGCAGTGGAAGTGCAGAGTCCTAACCACTGGAAGGGAATTCCCTCCAAAGTGAATTTTTTAAAATAAAAATTAGGACTCCAAGAGAGTTTTAAACTCTTTATGTTTCAAAATCATTTTGTGTAGTGTAATTCCCTTCTGCCAGCAGTTCTTTCCTTTGTGCAACTAACAAAGAAGAAATTTTGGGTAAATGGACCATGGGATGACTCCATTTGATATTCCTTCTTTTCTTACTATTCACTGACACTGAGTGGTTTATTAGAGATATGAGGTCTTTCCCATATCACAGATAAATTGTTCAGTGTAGAAAAATGAAAAAACTGAGGATGTATCAAAATTCTGTAATGTCAGCAAAATAACCATATTTTCCATTTTCACAAAATAAGGCTCAATAAAGACCCCATAGGGCTTCCCTGGTGGCGCAGTGGTTGAAGGTCCGTCTGCTGATGCAGGGGACATGGGTTCGTGCCCCGGTCCGGGAGGATCCCACATGCCGCGGAGTGGCTGGGCCCGTGAGCCATAGCCGCTGAGCCTGCGCATCCAGAGCCTGTGCTCCGCAATGGGAGAGGACAACACAGTGAGAGGCCCACGTACCACAAAAAAAAAAAAAAAAAAAAAGACCCCATAAAGAAAGAATATAAGAACATAAAAATTGTGAGAAGCACTTAAGAACGTACTTCCTGTCACAACCAGTCGTCTAGATTTCTGGTCTTTTTACCTCTTAGGGAAAAATCCTCAGTAAGTGGTGCTGGGAAAACTGGACAGCTAAATGAAAAAGAATGAACACCATACACAAAAATAAACTCAAAATGGATTAAAGACCTAAAGGTAACGCCAGACACTATCAAACTCTTAGAGGAAAACATAGGCAGAACACTCTATGACATAAATCACAGCAAGATCTCCTTTGATCCACCTCCTAGTGTAACGAAAATAAAAACAAAAATAAACAAATGGGACCTAATGAAACTTGAAAGCTTTTGCACAGCAAAGTAAACCATAAACAAGACAAAAAGACAACCCTCAGTATGGGAGAAAATATTTGCAAATGAAGCAACAGACAAGAGATTAATCTCCACAATTTACAAGCAGCTCAGTATCAAAAAAACAAACAACCCAATCAAAAAATGGGCAGAAGACCTAAACAGACATTTCTCCAAAGAAGACATACAGATGGCCAACAAACACATGAAAAGATGCTCAACATAGCTAATTATTGGAAAAATGCAAATCAAAACTACAGTGAGGTATCACCTCACACCAGTCAGAATGGCCATCATGAAAAAATCTACAAACAATAAATGCTGGAGAGGGTGTGGAGAAAAGGGAACGCTCCTACACTGTTGGTGGGAATGTAAATTGTTACAGGCACTATGGAGAACAATATGGAGGTTCCTCAAAAAACTAAAAATAGAGCTACCATATGATCCAGCAATTGCACTCCTGGGCATAAATCTGGAGAAAACCAAAATTCGAAAAGATATTTACATGCACCAAATGTTCATTGGAGCAGTATTTACAATAACCAAGACATGGAAGCGACCTAAATATCCATCAACAGATGAATGGATAAAGAAGATGTGGTACATATATACAATGGAATATTACTCAGCCATAAAAAAGAATCAAATAATGCCATTTGCAGCAACATGAATAGACCTAAAGGTTACCATACTAAGTAAGCCAGACAGACAAATATCATATGGTATCACTTATATGTGAAATCTAAAAAATGATACAAACGTATTTACAAAACAGAAACAGACTCACAGACTTAGAAAACAAACTTATGGCTACCAAAGGGGAAAGGTGGGAGGAGAGAGATAAATTAGGAGGTTGGGGAAGAAAAAAAGGAAAAACAGAAATGGTAAAAATTCATCAAATTCCTCAACAACAGTAACACAGGAAGCTAATCAATTCAGCAAAAAAATACACCTCTGTTGTTTCACTTTCATCATGCTTGTTAATGTAAGCAAAAATATCAACCAGCATTTACGTTAAAACAGTACCTGTTCCTCAGTGAGGGGAGCAACTTCTTTGCTGAATTGGACAGCCATCAAGTGCTTATTGGTAGCTTAATTTTGCCAAATAATGGCATAGGTCAGATATGGATAAATAAGTTTAGCAAAGTTCAAATCGATGAAAACCTCTTAGGGAAAAATCCTGATGTAAACAAAATGCAAGAAAATTCTGTAATAGTCAACCTTATGGTCCATATTTTGAGGAAAATACAGAAATTTATTTATTTATTTATAGCCACACCGCATGGCTTGTGGGGTTTTAGTTCCCTGACCAGGGATCAAACTCAGGCCCTTGGCAGTGAAAGCACAGAGCCCTAACTACTGGACCACCAGGGAATTCCCCAGAAAATAATTTATAACCAGAAATAAATGGTAACTAGAGCTCATCAATGAATTTGGTAAAGTTGCAGGATACAAAATTAATAAACAGAAATCTGTTGCATTTCTATACACTAACAACAAAAGATCAGAAAGAGAAATTAAGGAAACAATCCCATTTACCACTGCATTGGTGGTGGGAATGTAAAATGGTTCAGCAACTGTGAAAAACAGTTTTGCAAGGCCTCAAAAAGTTAAACATAGAATTACCATATGATCCAGCAATTTTGCAACTAATAACTAAAAAATATATAGTAAAAGAAACAAGGGAATCAAAATCGTATACTAGAAAATAACTGTCTAATAAAAAAAAGAAGGCAGTAATGGAGAAATTGAGAAATAAGGTATAAGACATATAGAAAAAAAAAAAACAGCAGAATGGCAGAAGTACCTCCCTATGAGCAAGCATGTTAAACGTAAATGAATTAAACTCTCCAATTAAAAGGCAGAGATTGGCAGAATGGATTTAAAAAATAACCCAACTGTAGGCTTTCTACAAGAAACTCACTTTAAGTCCAAAGATACATATAAGTTAGGTGTGAAAGGATGGAAAAAGATATTCCCTGCAAACAGTAACCAAAGAGAGCTGGAGTGGCCAGACAAAAGAGACTTTAAGACAAATACTGTTACAAGAGACAAAGAAGGACACTGTATAATAACAAAAGGGTCAGTCCATTAAGAAGATGTAACAATCATAGGGAATTCCCTGGCGGTGCGGTGGTTAGGACTTGGTGTTTTCACTGCCATGGCCTGGGTTCAATTCCTGGTCAGGGAACTAAGATCCCGAAAGCCAAAAAAAACAAAAAGAAGATATAACAATTATAAATATATAGAGACCTAACAACAAAGCCCTAAAATATATAAAGCAAAAACTGATAAAATTAAAGAAAGAGGACTTCCCTGGTGGCATAGTGGTTAAGAATCCACCTGCCAATGCTGGAGACATGGGTTCGAGCTCTGGTCAGGGAAGATCCCACATGCCTTGGAGCAACTAAGCCTGTGCATCACATCTACTGAGCCTGAGCTCTAGAGCCCGCGAGCAAAAACTACTGAAGCCCACGTGCCTAGAGCCTGTGCTCCTCAACAAGAGAAGCCACCGCAATAAGAAGCCCACGCACCTCAATGAAGAGTAGCCCCCACTTGCTGCAACTAGAGAAGGCCCGCGTGCAGCAAAGGAGACCCAATGCAGCCAAAAATTAATTAATTAATAATTTTTAAAAATAAATTTTTTTTTAAATCAAAGAAAGAAACAAGACAGTTCTACAGTAATAACTGGCAATTTCAAACAGCTCATATTCAATGATGGATATAACTGGACAAAAGATAAACAAGGAAAGAAAAGACTTAACAACACTATAAATCAACTAGAATTAGCAGATCTATACATACAACACTCCACTCAACAGCAGACTACACATTCTTCTCAAGTGCACATGGAACGTCCTCCTGCATAGACCAGATGTTAGGTCACAAAATAAGTCTCAAATTTATAAAGATGGAATCATTGGTATCTTCTCTGACCAGAATGGAATAAAATTAGAAACCAACAAAAGGACATTTGAAAAATTCACAAGTATGTGGAAATCAAACAACACACTCTTTTTTTTTTTTTTTTTTTTGCGGTACGCGGGCCTCTTACTGTTGTGGCCTCTCCCGTTGCGGAGCACAGGCTCTGGACGCGCAGGCTCAGAAGCCATGGCTCATGAGCCCAGCTGCTCCGCGGCATGTGGGATCTTCCCGGACCGGGGCACGAACCCGTGTCCCCTGCATCGGCAGGCGGACTCTCAACAACTGCGCCATCAGGGAAGCCCAACACACTCTTAAATAAACAAAGAGTCAAAGAACTCAAAATGGAAATTAGAATGTACTTAAAGATAAATGAATATTAAAAAATAATATACCAAAATTTATGGGATACAGTAAAAGCAGTGCTCAGAGGAAAATGTACAGCTCTAAACAACTATATTTAAAAAAAAAGGGAATTTCCTGGCAGTCCAGCAGTTAGGACTGCACACTCTCATTGCCAAGGGCCTGGATTCAATCCCTGGTTGGGGAACTAAGATTCCATAAGCCACATGGTGCAGCAAATAAATAAATAAATGTTTTTTAAAAAAGAAATAAAGATCTCAAACCAATATCCTAAAATTCTACTTAAAAGAACCAGAAAAAGAAGAGCAAACTAATCCCAAATAAAGTAGAAGAAAGTAATGAAAATTAAAGTGGAAATAATCAAAATAGACAAGAGACAAACAATTGGAAAAATCACTGAAATCAAAAGTTGATTCTTTGAGGGACTTCCCTGGTGGTGCAGTGGTTAAGAATCTGACTGCCAGTTCAGGGGACACAGGTTCAAGCCCTAGTCTGGGAAGATCCCACATGCCGTGGAGCAACTAAGCCTGTGCGCCACAACTACTGAGCCTGCATGCCACAACTACTGAAGCCCACGTGCCCAGAGCCCGTGCTCCGCAGCAAGAGGAGCCAGCGCAATGAGAAGCCCATGCACTGCAACGAAGAGTAGCCCCTGCTCGCCACAACTAGAGAAAGCCCGCGCGTGGCTATGAGGGACCCAACGCAGCCAAAAATAAAATGAATTAATTAATTAGTTTTTTAAAAAAGAGAGAGATTTTTAAAAAAAAGAAAAAGAAAAAAAGTTGATTCTTTGAAAAGATCAACAAAATTGACAAGCCTTTAACTAAAGTGACTAAGAAAAAGAGAGAAGGTGCAAATCACTCCAGTCAGGAATGAAAGTAAGGACATTACTACTAATCTTATAGAAATAAAAAACAAAGAGAATATAATGAACATTTGTATGCCAAAAAATCAGATAACCTAGATGAAATGGACCAACTCATTGAAAGACACAAACTACCAAAACTGACTGAAGACATAGAAAATCTGAATAGATTTATAACAAGAGAAAGCCTTTCAACAAAGAAAAAATCAGGACCAGATGGCTTCACCAGTGAATTCTATAAAATGTTTAAAGAATTTACACCAATTCTTCTCAAAGTATTCTGAAAAGTAGAGAAGGGAACTTCCTAACTCATTTTATGAAGCCAATATTACACTGATACCAAAGCCAGACAAAGACATCACCAGCAAAGAAAACCACAGACCAATTACAGATGCAAAAATCCTCAATAAAATACTAGGAAACTGAATCTTGTAGTATATTAAAAGGATTATATATCATGATCAAGCGGGATTTATCCTAGGAATGCAAAGGTGGTTTAATATGAAAATCAATCAATGAAACACACCAGATTAATAGAATGATGGGTGAAAAAAGCCACATAATCGTCTCAGTTGATTCCGAAAAAGCATGTGACAAAACCCAACACCTTTCATGATAAAAACAATCAACTAATTAGGAATAAAAGAGAGCCTCCTCAACCTGATAAACATTGAGCCATACCTTTGAGTGTTCTGAAAGGAAGTCTGGAAGCAGATAAACTTGTGCCAGTAGCTCTGTGTAGTCACGACAACGAAAATAATAAATATGGGAAAGAATATTTTCAAGAGTGAAATCCTGCAAAGCTTTTGGGTGCTCTGAAATAAACAACAAAACAATTTTAAAATAGTTTTACCTGTCATTTCACAAACTATCATTTCATAATTCCTGACCTCTTATTTTCACCTTTTCCACTGTTTCCTTACATACTAGACTAGAAATTTAGACACATACACAACTAGAGTTTTAATGTCTATCTTTTCATATTTCTAGTTATTGGCTTCCATTGAATAGAAGTAACACAATGGAACTTCTTTCTTGTTTTTTTCATAAGACTCCAAATTAAAAGTTAAAAGGAAAAATGTTGAAAAGCAGCATATTCTTCCCTTAAATGCCACAGTATAATTTGGTATTTAAGTAGAAACAATTATATAAAATAAAATTCTCTCCTTAGATTTGTTTTTTTAAAAATAACCAGATTGGTTCTGGACATATTTCAGAGAGAAACAAGTTAAAAATCATTGCATTTAAAAATGTACTTAAGTTTTAATGCTGAAAGAAAAGCCAAGAAATTAAATTTCAGAAAATATTTCCTATTACAAATATACATTTAACCAGTTCATTTTTAACCAAAACAAAACAGCTTAATCACACACCACTCATTAAAAACTATATTTCAGTGCTACATCCACAATATTTACAAGATCTTAAGACACTATTACAAATTACACCTGTGACATGGATAGCTTACAAGACTTTCAATAGATATACTAGTCATTGGTTAAAAAGGACACCTAGTACTACAATGAAAATAAAAATATTCAGCTGATTATATTCATTTAAAGGGAATACAAACATCTTAGGAAAAGCATTATGTTTTTTAACATTTCTAGAAAAAATGCACATCCAAAAAATAAAATACAATAAAGCAAAAGAAAAGCAAAAGAAAACAGTCAAACCAGAAACCATTTAATTTTATGAGTAACTGAAGGACAAGAACTAGAAAACAAATTACCTTAAAAAAAACTTTTTTAATCTAACACTTTATTTCCACATAATAAGTGCAGAAAAACTTCCCAACACTTTTAACAATACAATTAAGATAGTTGTGAAGTCAATTACATACTACTCAGAGCCACATAAGGTCAATCAGCCTAATTTTCCAACCATTTCCAGACATGATTTTTCAAGGCCACCCCTGGTTTTTGGAAAAACCAGTATGAAAGTCAAATACACTGAATGCATTGACACAACATTTAATACTTACAGTAAGGTGTCCAGTAACATTAGCTAACACCTGGCAGGCCAGAGCATGATGATTTGAAGTCATACATTGAAATACAGGTTTGTCCCAGAGCTCCTGCAGTAAAAAGTGAGGGCCATCAAAGGGGACAAAAAGGCCAGCCCAGGTGTGGCATTTCTCAATTTGTAAGAGAAGTATGAGAGTTTAATACTAGTACACGGTCATTAAGCTTCACGTTCCAAATGGTCTCTTGCTTGAGATGGATACAAATGAAAATTACTTTTATTATACAGAAAAAAGAGCACTTGCCAACTTACCTTCTCCCATATGTGTTCCTGCTATAAGCTGCAGGTGCTGAATGCAGGCATTAGCAAGGTCTACCACTCTATCAACCATAAAACTCCCCTCTGTATCAATAAAAACTGCTTCACCTTCTACTCCTCCAAAACATTCTGGTATCTGCACATCTACTGCCAACTGCATACTGTCAAGAGAAAGAACTGAAATGACCAAATCATTATCATGATCACCTAAGGCAGTGTTTTTCAAACTCCAAATCACAACCCATTAGATACCACTAAATATTTTATAGGTATAAATATACTCTGCAAAGTAACAGAGATGGTTGACTCTCCACGGCTCCAAACATATGTGAATCAATTGATGAATGGATTAGGGGGAGGGTGTGACTATAAAACCACAATTAAGGACTCTTTAGTGGCTTTTAGGCTTCTGGGAATGGAACCCTTTATTATACAAAAATCTACTTTCAAACATTTGGCTTTCAAATATATTCTCAGGAATTAATTCTATAATAAAGTAGAAGACTGCTTATTGACCCCACTGACCACACTATACTGTTGCAAAAGAAACACTTTTGAGTATCAAAATAATTGTATCAATTTATCAAGATGGGGTGCTGAAGTAAGGCAAATGTTGATTTGTTTGATGCACACATACAGACACACAAAATTAAGAGCACATACATGCCTTTTTTGGTCTCCTAACTGTATGCCCACAACACAATACTCTGTTACTTACATAAATGTAAGAGGAGAAAATTTTATTTTACCATAATTGTGTTTTTCCAACACCTGGTGCACCACAAATTTCTGTTGTTTTGGTTAAGGGTACGCCACCCCCAAGAATATTATCTAGTGCTGAACAGAAGGTAATTATGAAACTCTGGGTATGCTCCTGCTCAAGAAGTTCCAGCGCTGTGCACTTCTTGCCTGACTCAGCTGTACCAGAATAACTTGTTTTATTTGTGAGACATTCTCTTCTTATAATTTGCAGCGTTTCTAAGGCTTCCTCTTTAGATATCCCAACTTCTGAAAGTAAGAAACAGAAACAAAAACATCTGATTTTAGAAATTTAAAAGTCATATGTTATTGAGTTGTCTTAATTAATTTTAATTTTTAAATAACAAGAATGATGCCAAGAGTACAGAAACATAAAAATGTAACATTCGATTAACTATTTAATTTTTCAAGTTAATAAAGGCATTTATCTATATTTTCTTAGTCTTCACATACTTAAAAGATTTATCTATTACCTCAGAAACAGAATTGAGAAAACTAAGCCTCTAAAGCATTTCTGAGTATCTACAAGAGTATCTATCTCAGAAGGTAGAAATGAAAATGTCCTTTTTTTTTTCCTTTTGGTCCTTTTACTATCTCTTTGGTCTTTTACTATCTCTTTTGGTCTTATGAAGCCATAATAAACTTGCTCTCCTAAGGTATACAAATTATTTTTTAGGAAAGAATGAAAAATGGCCTTTTTAACTGCCTAAAACAAGATGCAGATTTAAGAAGTGCATGTGCATGTATTATTCATGAAAACATTGGAATGAAAAGTTCATGGATCACTGCAAACTATTTAATAAGAAAAATTATTTGATGCACCAATAGCTTAAACAATACACTTATGCTTCCTCAACTATACAATTTCATTCCTGACAACATGGCCTAAGAAGTAAAATGGAAATTACAAAACAAGCTGCTTATGGAAGAAATAATGGAGAGGATATCACTTATGAGTTTGATATATCAGTGCTTGATTGGGTAAGGATATGAACTATAAATTTGGTGCTAACAAAAAACATTAATGGTGCTAAGGAAATGAAAATTCCATCCAATTTAAGAGCCTTAACTCGTCTGATTACTTAGGTTTCTCATTCCTGACCGCACCACTTACTATGTAGTTACTATGCATGGGCAAGTTACTTCTTTATGCCTCAGACTTTTCTTCTACAATATGGGAATGAAACAACACACATAAAAACCTTGGTAGAACACTAAGCCCATCCAAAATGCTTAATAATTGTTAGCTACTATTATCATTCAGATTCTCTCATTTCTTTTTTGTAAAACCAACCTGTTGAAAGAAAATGAGCCCATCAAACTTTGGGGGATACAGTCTTTGGCATAAGACTTAAGACAAATAGTTAACATTGGCTTTACAACATTTGTTCTTGAGTGGAGAGTTGAAACCTTATTTTCAATCGTTAAGGGAAATGACTTAAAATTCTGTTCTATCTTAATAACACAGTTCTGGGCATACTGTAGTGTAATGTGCACAGTGAGAGTGACTGCAGAGAGCTTCATTTTTGTGGGCCTCAGAAGGAAGTGGCTCCCACCAACATATAATCTACAGTGTTCTGGAATGTGAGTTTTGGGTTTTTTTTCAGTGAATTACATTAAGAGAAGCGATGTCTTCTTTCTACTGCTTTCTCCAGGTTCTGGGGATTCTACTCCCTTTGTCACTCTTAATTTACCTCATCCTATCACGAACAGTGCATTTCTTAAATTTAATCCCTGCCCCTTGGATTTTGTAACAGCGAAAATTAGCCTGTCTGGATTTCAATTCTGCCTCCACAACTTCCTAGCCCACTCATAATGAAAAGTTACTTAGCCTCCCAAGCATCAGTTCCTTCATCTATATACTGAACATAATAGTCCACGTTAAAAGGGTTCTTTTGAGTATAAATGAGATAATCCTCAGAGGCTTCAGCAGCCACTGGCAGAGAAAGCAACTGGTGAATGTTTCCAAGACCACAGTTCTAACCATTCAAACCACACTTAAGTGGAGTCAAGGAGCTATTTCACGGTGTAAACGCGGCGGTGGGCGGCGGCAGAATCTGGCCGAGAACGGGGATGGAGGCGGCTCCGACAGCGGCCAGAGTGCCTCAGCTTGTAATGGGAGTCCGTTACCTTTGCTGAGCTCGGAGGGTTTCACCTCTAGTAGTTCCTCAGCAGTCTGGAAACCTGCAGACACCAGCTTCACCCTCACCGCTGGGGATAGGGGCAAACTCACTAAATCCCGCTGCATTTCAAAGCCGAACACCTACGCTCGCAGTTGCGCAGACGCAGAAGCGGCCAAGCCCGCGCACGCGCACCCGCCACGCCACGTGACGTCAGACGTAAGGCGGAAGGGTGGGGTCCGCGGCGTGGCTGCACGCGGCCTTGGGCTTTGGGGCTCTGCGGCTTTGCGGCTGTGCGGAAGTCTGGTCACTCTTACATACGTTGCCCCGTTTCCATCGTGAATTTTCCAAATCCCATTTACAGTTTGCATATCAAACGTACATCCTGACAATAAAAAGATGGATGGAGACCGCAGGATGCAAAGTCAGGCCCAGTGTGTCTTACCACATTTCCTCACCTCCACCCTGACCTGTTGGGTGGAGGCCTCAGGGTTGTTAGTAGGAATGATCTCCCCGAATGGGAGCTAAGATACGCACAGACACTGGCATGTTACCGGTTTGGGGTACGGAACAGTCGTATAAAGAATACTCTCCATCCTCGTAATAGGGTTCCAGGGTCTTGGGTCTTCTTGCCGGATGTCCCCTTGCTAGGCCCCCTCACCTTTCCCGCCCTCGCTCTCGCGAGGAATTGTGGGACAGCCCCCCAGAGCCGCTGGGCGCGGTCGGCGCTGAATCCCCGCAGCCGACCACGTCTTGCCGCGTGCGAGTCGAGTCTGGAGCGTGATGGTTTGAGACCGTTAGTTCTTCACGGCCTGCCTAGAAGTAGCTGGATAAGTAAGCAAGTATAGTCCCCATAGTGGGCTGGGCGTGGGCTCCTCCGGTCCTTGAGCGGGAGGAGTTGGGCTACGCCAGAGCTCCTATTCTGGTACTGAGTTGGCAAGGAACCACTTCTAAAATAGAGAATCTGGGGGGGAATTGAGAGGCGGTTTGGAAGGTGGCTTGCGAAGTCTTTTCTTGCCCAGGAGAGAATAATTTAAGGGAAAAACTCATTCCGTTCCTTTAGGCGACGATTCTTAGCCTTGACCTTTCTTCCTAGCTTAAAGGAACTCCCTAAATATTGCAAATGAGGGCCCTTTAAGTACATAAGCTCTAAGGAAGGAAATGTGCTGACCGCTTTAGCAAATCCTACACATTTACAATGCTCACAGCCATGCCGCAAGGAGCATAAGGACATGGAATCTCAGAGCAGTTTTTTTGAAACCAAAGTTAAAACCTAGTACACTTTTTTCTTCCCTGAGCTACCTCCAAATTGTGAGGTAGCTCTTGGAGTGGGGGTGGGGGGAAAATTCTAGAAGTATGTGTCCCCCATTTGATAGGGCAGGAAAAGTCTGGTAGGACTAGTCAAAATGTGGTTTATTTGCCACTCTGTACGTTGCTTATCTTCTAGTGTGTTACACATCTGGACATACAGGGAACATTACATAAATGTTTTCCCCTGGGAGAATTCATGCTTATACTTATTAAGTAACCAGTGTCCTGGGTGAAGAAGAGATGGTGTTAACATACTCAGGGATAGCTCTTCAGGTCGTTCAGTGAAACGCAGTGGAATCCTTCGTGTTAGAATTTTGTTTCATTAGCAGTGGGGAGTTAAACTAGTCGACTCTATCTGTAGTTATACTGTTACGCATCATTAATATCTGACCCTTGAGTTGCTATAATAATTATTGTTTTCATCATCATTCTTAAGATATCTTTAATGCAGTTTGCTCTATAGTCAGGCTTTCAAACTGGGATCCAGTTTTATGAGGTCAGGCGCCAGGAAATAATGCTGTGGGACTTTTACGGAAGGTGCACCTTCCTATACTGTCAGGTTTTCTCAAATATTTCTTTAGAGAGGGAAGAATTGAATGAGTTAAGTGGTGAGCCATTTTAAACATTTTCTATTAAACAAGCATTAATATATTGTAGAGTAAAATGCAAGTATAAATTTTAAGATAAGCATAACAGTTTGAAGAAAGATCCAGTTTAAACTGGATATTTCAGTAGTCTCCCAGATTTTCCTGCGAGTATGTTATTATTTTCCTTTGCAATTTAGGGTTACTTGATTTTGAGAAGTACTGTTATGGGGAAACAAGCATGAGCTTTGGAGTCATACAAATTTGGGTTTGTATCACATCTTGGGAAATAACCAACTGTGAAACTTTCAGCAAGTTACTCAGTTTCCTCGCCTGCAAATGGAAGATAATAATATTTCTTCCATTAGGGGTTGTAAGAAAGATTAAATGAACAAATATGAAGTGTTTAGCACAGAAAAGGTACATAATAAATCTTAAGTTTTTTCTCCACTTAAAAATATTATAATATGTATATTCAGTCGAATAAAGCCTTATTGAACACCTAGCTCAGAGTGCCAATGCTATGAGCCTTTAAAAGAAAAACAATGCCTACAGTTGTAAAGTGCCAAAGAAAAGTGCTTTTACGTATTTTATTTTATTTGACTTGATCCTTATAGTAATCCTGTGAACAGTTTACCCAGGTCCCAATTTAAAACTAGCACATTGAAGATTGGATCACTTAAGCAACATTAAATATTTAACCACTAGTTTTGTGCAGGGTGACAGGACTAACAAAAGAATCTATGCCCTCATGGAGCGTTAATCAATCAGGATTATTATTGAGGTGTGTTGCCTTTCTGACTTGTGTTGTAATCTAGATACAATACTAAGGGTAGGCGTGAGTTACCGATAATAGCTATAATTAAGTATTCAAATAAGGACACATTTTCATGCTGAGTGGGCTATTTTCTAGAGCTGTGGGAGAGGAATAATGTGAATATTTCTGTTATAGCTGAGAAGTTTATTTTCTTTTAGCATAAGAACATAGAACTTTTAAAACTGGTGACCTTGCGTGTTCAAGTGAATTTGAGAATGGGAAAGATAAATGAGTGCTGTTTGGACTAAGAAAAAAACTCTGAATCAAGGTTTAGCTTTAGAGATGGTTGTGATAAAGCTTAAGGCCTCAAACATGTATATTTGGAATAGCAATATCAATTTCACAAGGCCTTGTACATAATGGGAGCTCAAAATATTTGTTGTCCCCAAACTCTTAGACATTGTTCTCACTTGACTTCTGTGATGCCACATCTCTGATTTCATTCCTAGGCATCTGGCTTTTCTGAGTCCCTTACAATTTTATCCTCCATAACCAGGGCATGAAATGTTACTGTAAGGCCCCATAGCTGACCTTTCACTGACTATCCAGTTCTGTTGTCTCTTCTCCTTTCTAGTTCTTTCATTTTCTCTCTGCCTCTCTTATTCACATTCACAGTTCAGTGACTATACGCCAATAATTTGTAAATTTATTTTTCTAGCTCTAACCTGTTCTCTGACCTCCAGATGCAAATATCTAATTGCATACAGCATAGTGCTAAATCTCCAACTTAGCCTATCTTAAACCTAACTCATTATCTTCAGCCCATCCCAAAATCTTTTTGTCCTCCTCCTGCATTCCCTGCCTCCGTGAACTGAATATCCATCCTTCCATCTGCACAAACCAGAAACCTAGGAATCTTCCACACCTCCTTCCCTTTAAGTCTCCATGTTCAGTATAACCGCAAACCTTATCAATTTTCTCTCTAAAATATCTCAATCATGTCCATGTCTCTTTTTCTAGGCCAAGCTGTCACCATTTCTCTCTTTTCTGTTTTTTGAAGATTTTTTTTATGTGGACCATTTTCAAATTCTTTATTGAATTTGTTACAGTACGGCTTCTGTTTTATGTTTTGGTTTTTTGGCTGCGAGGCATGTGGGATCTTAGTTCCCCAACCAGGGGTCAGGGATCAAACCCACCCCCCCTGCATTAGAAGGTGAAGTCTAACCACTAGACCTCCAGGGAAGTCCCCACCATTTCTCTTATAGGTGCTGCAAGAGCCTTTTAGCAGGTCTCTCTGCATCTTGTCTTCCCCTTCCCTCTAGTCTGTTCTCCCATGCTGCAGACAGGGTCCTTTCTAGAGTATATTTCATTTCCTGTAACTCCCTATTTTGCTCTTGGGATAAAGACCAAATTTCTTAGTAAGACTTACAAAAAGTCTTGCATGTTCTGGCTCCTGTTTACCTCTTTAGTTGCATCCTTTCCCTCTCTCCCCTTTACTCTTTTTTTTTTATCTATCTATTTATTTATTTATTTACTTATTTATTTATTTTGGCTGCCCCGGGTCTTAGTTGCAGCGTGCAGTCTTCTTAGTTGCGGCATGCATGCAGGATCTAGTTCCCCGACCAGGAATCGAACCTGGGCCCCCTGCATTGGGAGCGTGGAATCTCACCCACTGGACCACCAGGGAAGTCCTGTCTAACCTTTACTCTTTACACTCCAGCCACTCTGGTCTTAATTCCATGTGTGTGCCACAACATGCCTCTCTGCTTCACCCAATTAACTACTATTTATTTATCCTTCAAATCTCAGCATTCATTGACCTCTTCTCTGACTCTGAACCTCTACCTCCAACAAGCCCCCTTGAAACTAGGTCAGATCTTCCCTTTAAGGCTCTCATAACACCAGATGTCTTTGTGTGATCAGTTAGTTAGCATATATCTACCCAACTAGAATGAAAGATTCAGTAGAACAGGGACCATGTGGATTTTACTCGTTTTCCTAGAGCCCCTAGCCCAGTGTATGGCTTATAGGAGGTGCTCAGTATATATTTGTTAAAAGAATGGATGATTAGGTGATTGACCTCTCTCATTTTTTTTTGTTTTGTACTCTTAAATAGGTGGGAAATATATACGTGTAGGAAGTAGAAAACAAATAAAATACCAAAAATATAAAGAATATAAAACTGATTTATAGACTTTTTATTTTATTTTGTTATTTAAAATTTTTTTAATTGAAGTATAATTGATTTACAGTGTTTTAGGTATAGAGCAAAGTGATTCAGTTATACATATATATATTTTTTTCAGATTCTTTTCATTATACACTATTACAAGATATTGAATATACTTCCCTGTGCTCTACAATAGGTCCTTGTTGTTTATTTTATTTATAGTAGTGTTTATCTGTTAATCCCAAGTTCCTAATTTAACCCCCTGCCCTTTTCCCTTTGGTAACCATAAATTTGTTTTCTATGTCTGT